TTTTTTTTTTTCTTGCTATTTGTTACTACCGTACATCTTAGTATTACTCGAGTTTAAAGCTGACTCGCGACTGGGTTGGTCTGCAGGTGCTGTGTACGAATATTACTTTCATAAATTAGGTGGCTACAAAACAGTGGAGCATTTAGGAAAAACTGAAAGATTTATATTTAAACAGTACCTATAAAAAATTTATTGTCCTTGTTCCCTGGTTATTTCGAGTTTGAGACTTTTAGGAAATGCATATAGCTGTTTTTAGGTTCATATTTGCAACGTGACTGTAAGTAAATGAACCTAATCAACGTTGCCTGTGATTATTTTTGTAGCTCTTTGTTTCAAGTTAATATCTTAAGTTTATTTTTACTAATATCGCAGTCCCTCAGTAATCTGTTGTACAGGAAGTTATTGTAAACTTATTCATCTTTAAGAGCACTCAGATTCTTTGTAATGCAGCAATGTTCCCAGTTTTTTATCTTTTGTAGAATAGTTTTTAGAGGTGCTGGTTCTGCTTGTATTTGTTCTGCTTGTTATCACTGCTGGAAAATGAAGATTTGTAAAATTATTAAGTTTTTACTATGTTCGAGGAGCTTGTTTCGAATTACTAAAGCTACTTTTGATGTATTCATTGGGGAGTAGACCAGTCTTTTTTGGATGTTTCAAGTAAAGGCAACACCTTTGCAATTTGATGATATTTAAAAAACAATGGCTTATCAGAACTTCAAGCCAAAAAAAGTAGCACAATTTAGCAATGAAGGACAGTCAGGATATTGGAATTTTTTATATAGTGAAGAAATGAAGTTTTGTGAATATTTCTTACTGAGCTGGAAGGGCAGTATTGAAACCAAACTTATCGGATAGGAACTAATCTAGCAGTCATATACGCAGTTTCTAGCTGTTTAGGAGAAGAGACTTTTGTTCTGTAACTAAGTGGGATCTTTTCTTGTTCATGCTGTTATGCCTCACTATATTTATCGGGGGCTTCTGTCTTATATAATTTTATTGGTATATTACTTCATAAATTTGAATCTTTTTCGAGAATTTTGGTACGTCAAATAAGGTAGACTGAGTGTGAGGAGAGTTTTATATAATGTAGCACGGTTTATTTGATTCTTTGGATCTGTAAAGTAATCTTTGTTTAATTTAAGTTCTTTAGCTGCTCTTATGCTGTAGAGTCTTATTCTTGGATGAGAAACTGAAGGATGCAGCAAAACACATCGAAGTATTGACAAATATTTGAAAATGCAAATGCTTTCTGACGAGTTCTTCTTTGTAAGTTTTCGGAAAACTAGAGATATTAGCTATTGTGGATTAAAAATACTAGACAGAATTCTTGTTATGCGTACTTTTATATCGGAAAATGAACCGCTATTCAGTAAGATATCTACCC